TAATTAAATTTTTAATATCTCTTAATCATTACCATCATTATAATTTTAATATCTCATAATCATTATTTTTGCCCACGATTACATCCATATACAGTGCTTGTAAAGAAATCACAGATTCTTTGGACGATTAAAAGCTTCATATTCTTATTGCTTTCGTTAGCCGACGAGCATATGGCCTGTCTGATGGTGAGTGGTTACCGTTCCTCATGGACCTCAGCAATGCCAATTCGCTTCCCAAAGTTCAAGCATTTTCAGTAGTAAAACATTAGATGATATAATATTATACAAACTGATCATGCAAAAATAATAAATAGCGAGAAACATAAAGACGCCTCGTGAATCGAACGAAGCATGTCTTAGTTGGACGTCCGGTATATTTTATTTATACCAACGGACCGTTGGGAAAAATAGCCGTGAATACCTTTTATGGTTATTGATTTTGTGCATGACCTTAAGGCCTTTGTTTTTATATTGAAATTGAAGAATATTATGGATACACGTGCGATTTTATAAAGGGAATTTTAATAAAATAAGACCTTTATTACCTATTATTATATATATATAATAGTACCTATTAAGATCTGATTTCTCCTGCATATTTCTGCCGTGAAGCAGCAATGCGTTTCGGTTTGAAGGGTGGGGCAGCCGTTGTAACTATACTTGAGACCTTAGAACTTACATCTCAAGGTGGGTGGCGTATTTACGTCGTCTATGGGCTCCAGTAACCACTTAACACCATGTGAGCTGTGAGCTCGTCCACCCATCTAAGCAATAAATAAAAATAGTAGATGGATTTAATAATAAAGGGTGTGATTTTGTCAAGTTTGACGTTTTTTTATATTTAATAGTCCGATTATGTAATTTTAGTTTTGTTCAATTAATACCGTTTTCTGGTGCTAATATCAATATTTTTTTGGTATTAATCACTAAAACAATGAGCCATTAATAACCGTTATTAATTACATACAAATACAAAAAAATAATATTGTTATTTGATTGTTGAACTTACAAGACGTTTTAGCATAAAACAAAATATCACTTTTTGAATAAACTGGACTGCCATCTCATTACATACTAAAACATAATTTGACCCCTTTGATTTCAGGTCATAGAATTATAGTTTTATAAATCAATATATATTTTATTTTTTTTATTGCATAGATGGGTGGACGAACTCACAGCCCACCTGGTGTTAAGTGGTTACTGGAGCCCATAGACATCTAACGTAAATGCGCCACCCACCTTGAGATATAAGTTGTAATGTCTCAGTATAGTTACAACGGCTGCCCCACCCTTCAAACCGAAACGCATTACTGCTTCACGGCAGAAATAGGCAGGGCGGTGGTACCTACCCGCGCGGACTCACAAGAGGTCCTACCACCAGTAATTACGCAAATTATAATTTTGCGGGTTTCGCTTTATTTAGTATTTAGTATTTATATTATAAAAAAATACTTCTGTCAATATGTTTCTTCGGTTCCATGTAGTTTCAGAATGAAATCTCACCGTTTACTTAAAAACAATTATCTCGATGGGATACGGACGTTGATAAATGCATTTTGTGATTACAGATTATACTTCTACCAGTGGATTATTACATTATATTAGTCTTCTAATGTCTTATGAATTAACATAACTTAATTATGAAGAGAAACGTTACAGGTGATAGTCGAAAAAGAAATATTTATCTCGAAAGCCGAAGAACAAAGTGTACTGCATACTATTTTTAACCGACTTCAAAAAATGAGGTTCTCAATTCGACTGTATGTTTTTATTTATGTTTGTTACCTCATAACTTTTGATCGGGTGAATCGATTTTGATGATTCTTTTTTTATTAGAAAGCTGACGCTTCCCCTGTAGTTCCATTTCAATTTAGTCCAGTTCTGATAACGGTATCCATGAGAAAATCATATAAGTCTTAAATTTGCATTAAGTACGTGCGCGACCAATAGATTAATAACTCAATATCGCGCCAACCGATTTCGATGATTATTGTTTTTAGTGTATATTAATTTGTTTTGGAATATCATTTTTTTCTATTTAAAGTCGGTTTTTCTTAAAGCATGCCTATTTACAATTATTACTATTGCTATTTATACCACTATACTAGTTTTCTTAGAAACTTCATAAGAATATAGAGCACTTATAAGCAACATATCTCGTCCAATTCATGTTTAAAATACGATATTTTGGGAATCCTCCCGATATAGAATAAAGAGTATCTCAAAAATACGTATAGTCGTTATATTTCACTTCTGAGTATATTTATTTTTCCCACAGATTAAGTGACTACTTATTTCTTAAAGTGAAAAGAATCTGTGATTTTTTAGAAGTATGTTTTGTATACGGATCTAATCGCGGGCAAAAATATAATGGTAATTATTAAGAGATATTAAAATTTTAATTAAAAACTTAAGACACAAGAGATCTTAACTCAAATCCAATCATGACGAAAACGACAAATAATTCCCCTAAAACCCCTCCAACTGAACACTGTCAAAGCTTTATCCAAAGCTCAAACGTTTCTGTAAGATCAAACGGAACTTCTGTAATTAGCCGAACTATTTCCACAACTCAGCTTTACTTTAAACTTTGCATTCGTTGATTCAACATTTAAGAGCTTGTTATTGCCTTGTCTAACATTTCCATCGTTTATTTAAATATTGTTTATCGACAGGAAAATGTCTAAGTCTCATTTACCCCAACTTTTCGTCTTCCATTTTATCCTTTGACTATTGGCAAACGGCGCGAAATTACTGCTTGGGTTATAACGCTATGCTATCCGCTCGTGAAGTCGCTTATGACCGTTTGGGCCGTTGACTAATACATATTACTCCATAGATTTGATATTTTCATCGGTTTTCACGGCTAGTAGACATAATTAATGCTATTTTTACCGAATTAATCTCACGTTTTTTAATGATATTCCGATATGTCGAATACTTTATAGTTTTTCTGGTAACACACGAAAGTCGTACGTATTCGCCCATTTAAATAATATGCCAAAAAATGTTTTATTAAACAGTAAAACTTGTTCTTATTATATAAATTATTGTTGTCTTGGTAATTTCATGTCGTAAATCCGTCAAGTATAGTTAGAAGAACCGATGTCACGTTATTATTACTTTTTTTATTTTTTTATTCCATATATGGATGGACGAGCTCACAGTTGAGGTGTTAAGTGGTTACCGGAGCCCATAGACATCTACAACGTAAATGCCGCCACCCATCTTGAGATATAAGTTCTAAGGTCTTAGTATAGTTACAACGGCCGCCCCGCCCTTCGGATCGAAACGCATTACTGTTTCACGGTAAAAATAGGCAAGGTGGTGGTACCTACCCGTGCGGACTTACAAGAGGTCCTACCATCAGTAATTACGCAGAGAAACATTAAAATTCTCTACTAAGATACGTCGGTACGCCAATCGTCCCGAAAAAAATGTTCTAAAGTGTGTAACTTCAAACTCATCCTAATTTAACTAAAACTGCCATTACGGGACATTTATTATATTATATTCAATTGCTATCTGTTTCGATTGCTATACAGTTATCGTCGTTATTAATGACTGTAGATTTAGTAAATAAAACTGTATAAGTATTTTTAATCATGCCTACGACCCGCCGAAAACCGAAGAACAAAATACCTTAAGCATTGTTTTGGAAATTCTATTCGTCGTGCCTTCTTTATAATTGTTTGGTGTTACAGCTGTCCTTTACAATCGCCAAATAACACATGTAATCGTTAATTATACTAACAGAATAATTACGTATACTTCAAATATCAGTCGGTAACTAACTATCTGTTTCAAAGTGGGCCGATATTGCGTTCATTTTACTATGAGAATGTACATCTGTTTGTTATGTGACAGTTTTATTAGATGTACTATGAGTTTTATAGGTGCTTTATGGCATTTCAAATGGATATAAGCGTATTGTGTATGTTATAAATATTAAGCGGTGGTCGAGAGATATATTCGTTTCTGTAAGTTAATACATTACTATGATTTCAAGTTTTTTAATACGCTTTTATTAGCTTCAGACATGTGTATGTTAGTATGTAACAGAATCTTTGAACATGATTTTGACTCCTTCAAAACGTCCGATTAACTCGAAATTTTGTATACTGATGACAATTCAATATTAAAACAAATATATATTGAAAAGATTGAATTTCAACTAAAAAATGAAAAATAGATAACAGTTTAAAAAAAACTAACAAAAACCGCTTTTATAGAAAATCCAACAAAAAAATCGAAAATACATTTTAATAAATTTGAATAAAAAATAGTGTAAGAAAAAATGATTATATTGTAAAAATAAGCGTGGGCTGCATGGTATCAGTAGTTATAAATATTTTATGAACAAATATGAGTAGAAGGGTTATTTTGATAATATCCTGAAAAGCACGCAACGCTTCCTTACAATAAAATCATTTTTTCTTACACTATTTTTAATTCAAATTTATTAAAATTCATTTTCGATTTTTTTGTTGGATTTTTTATAAAAGCGTACTTTTTTGGTTTTTTTAAACCATTATTTATTATTCAGCAATTTTGATGTACCTATGAAGTATTAGGACGAATATATAATGTTAGGATTATTTTCGATTTACAGTACTTACATTTAATTATGCCTTTTGCATCTTAATCACGTACATTTAAAGACGAATTTTCGTTTTCAAGTAATTACCCTTCGCAATTAGCAATGAATTAAACTTATTAAAGTTACGATAGGGCGTATTTTGAACCCGCTCGAGTAGGTATCAGCATTCTGCCTATTTCTACCGTGAAGCAGTAACACGTTTCGGTTTGAAGGATGGGGCAGCCGTTGTACTGTAAAAAAACTAAAACTTCGAACTCATGTCTCAAGTTGGGTGGCGGCATTTACGTTGTAAATGTCTATGGGCTCTAGTGACCACTTAACACCAGAAGGTTGTGAGCATGTCCATCTAAACACTAAATTATACGAATACTATAATACATCATATGAAAGATACATTAATATCGATCTTCAACTAAACCTTGACCTGCAATATTTAGATAGTGAAGCACGCGTTCGGAATGACAGAAGTATGAAAGGCATAGAACGCTGAATAGATGTTGAAAAATGACTAAGCTAATGACTTAATTGTAATTATAATTCATTTCAGATTTATCTATAACATATCATTTTTTTCGTATAAAGTCAATTATGTATCCTACTTAATAAGTGTTAACTGAAACATATCATTAAACATAAATAATAATTCGTCGGAAGTGTAATGTGAATTCAATTCAAATGACAAAAGAAAAGGACGGAGGCAATGATAAGGCAAGTGAAAAAGAAAGAGACGGAAAGAAGGGGAAAATGTCGCATATACATAAACGAGTGGGGTTAAATCGTTCGACGAAGTTCGCGCGCCGTTCGGGTAAATTCGGCTACGGTTCACCAATGACGAATCGCAGATTGAAGAAACGGTGTTCGTTATTCAAATACAGATCGATGATTCGTCCGTGTGCGAAGGCAAATGGATTGTTGTCGTTTGTGGGAGTGGTGCTTTTGACTGTTTGTGTGAAGGCGAGCGAGTTCCCGGAACGAGAATGCTGCGATCCTGTGTACCCTCCGAACACGGCCACGACAGCGGCTGTACCGGTCACTCCGCCTTTAACAAAGATTACAGGTATGTAAAGACGGTTAGTAGTTAGAGGTCACAATAAAATATGCGTATATATTGTTTGAGATGATCCCTCATCCCTTTTTACCATCGCACCTCCCGCCATCGGAGCAGAGATAATCCATATTATCTGGAACCGTTGCGTTCATCGACAGTGCGTTTCCAGAGGTCTTTTTTGCCACATACCATCCGGCTATGGAATGAGCGCTATGACATGTCCTTCTTCAAAAGAGGCTTGTGGAGTGTATTAAGCGGTAGGCAGCGGCTTGGCTCTGCCCCTGGCATTGCTGAAGTCCATGGACGACGGTAACCGCTCACCATTGGGTGGGCCGTATGCTCATCTGTCTACAAGGGCAATAAAAAAAAAGAGTGGTTTCAAAACAAACTTAAACTAATAGTAAACAAATATCTCAATTCTAGACAGGAAAATAACTTGAGTTATTTGTATATAGGCAAGAACAAAAGCATCTAATGTTTTTATCGGTTTTCACAGTCGTCCGTGATCCGAAAAACTGTAAGCCAACTGAGACATAAGAAACAAGAGATTAAATCGTAAAAGTGGTTTTAATTAATGACAAAGGTATTAAGCGCAGCTTGCTTGTAAAGTCACAAACCACTCGACCGGCGTGGAATATTGAAATATCTCGACTAATGGAAAAAAGTAAAGTTGTTTATTTATTATTTACAACGGATAACCTTTTCGTTCTCTTCAACGTTTTCTTTCTGATTGGAACAGTTGATTAATGGCCCATGAATATGTTCCGCTTATATTACAAGTAATGATGTTTGTAAGATGTAGACGAGATGGAATATGACTATCGTGTATTAGCACAGAGCGCTAGTCCTAATATTATGAAATTTCGATCGTTTGATTATTCTACAGCGGTAGGAGAGAAAATTTATTTATCTTAATAGTTTACTATCAGGCAGACCGTTACCGCAATCACTAACATATCAAGATTCATAATTAAATTTGGTATTGTGATTGAAATAAAAATAAAAATATTAGTTACAATTAATTAATTCTTGAACTATTAATTCCAATACAGAAAAAAAACGAATAAAATGTTATAATTTTTATCTATTGATATTTCAAAATTTAAATTTTAGTGTTTGATGTTTATAATGATGAATCGCAAATTATAGAACCAACAACAGATCATGTAAAAGAAATACCTAAATAAGAAACAGTAAAAGTTCCTTGCAATTGATACTACTGGAGATATAGCCTGAAGAGAATTAACGCCAAACAAGCAATCGATCGTAAAGCTTCTTATGATTACACTAGTTTTTATGTAGATTGAAATAAGATTCAATATTATATGAAGAACTATGAAATAGCAGTACTGATAGGTTGATTGATATTGTCTGCTGTCGTTGCTGTCAAATAATCACCCGACCAGATAATGCTTCAATAATATGGCTTAAGGGAACGAGATAGAAATTTCAATGTTCTTTCATGATTTTCTTACACATGCTGCTAATAATATGCCCTAAATTAAAGCATAATATTAGGTGGTCTTAAATTTCAATCCGGAACTCGTTATGGTTTTGCGATCAGACTGTGTTGCTTACTTACAAACATGACCTACCTAGTATTATACTTAACATAAGAATACAGTTGATGGAGAATCAGAACCTAGCAGGACTAAATGTACCGATTAATATTTGGAGAGACCAAACAGTTATATTCACGGTAGGTATCTTGACTATGGTGTTATTTTATTATTTTTCGGGTCGGGTGCTAGTTCCGGGCTTACCCCGCTGGGTAGGAACCAGCCTGCCAGGTTGAAACCGATACAATGCGGATCGGGTTGCTCTTCCACAGTATATTTGGCGCGATGGCAGCGGCACGGCGTCGAAAGAGAAGAAGAGCTCTCCTTTCCCGTTCCGCCCCCTCCTTCTGCGAAATGGTGAACTTGCAGAAGTCGAGCATGGCCTGCCAGGACTCATTGCTGCCAAGCATCGTAGTCGTGACGTTCGGAAGCCACAAGTCCGGTCCTATCTTTCGCGATTCCCATCCGGTGGTAGATTCAGCGAAGCGCTGTATTTGCTAGGGCTAGTGTTAGCAAATTTGCCAGGCTGAGCCTCGTGAGCTCGCCTACACCTTAAATGAGCCTATTATAACCCAGCGAAGTAACTAGGATAGGTAGGAAAAAAAATACAGATGTCCATGAGAGAGAGTAACCACTTGCCACCAGGAGGGCTGTAAATCGATTTGATACAGTAGATATAGAAATAAAGCCACTCATATTTATGTCGTTATTTAAAAGATGTGCTATTTAAGAATATTAACCTTCAAATCTATCCCACGCAATTCATTATGACGTGGGCGTTTACTGGTAATTTCAACAGTCCGTAAATTCAATTGTTCCAACGCTCATCGAGCTATTTAAGTTAAGGAAAACATCATGATGTTTATAGACGAATTTGATCTTTTATTGGGAATCAAATTGAGTTTTTCATCCTTCCGGCGTAGTACATAATTTATCACCATTTTGTGACGTTTAATTTCGAAGCATTGTTTCTTGATCGGCCATAATGATAAAAGTCTTTATTAATTTTATAAGTGAATCGAGAGATTACAACAGTTGAACCAGAAGTGATCTTTCGATCCAGTAAGCATATGTTCTAGATTTTGAAATAAATATCGTTGTCAAATATGTGTGTTCATAAAACAAATATTTAAAATGTGTTTTCTGTTTTTATATTTAACGGCTACTTCAAGAAAATCTCAGTGATAATGCCGTGTCATAATGTAGGCCTGGATAGGTACTTACTATCGTTCTGTTAGTAGTCAGAAGGCCAAACTCTTTTTAAAAAAGTCTTTATTGGACACTACAAAATGTTTATAAAGAATAACTAATTATAATAAAATAATTTGGAGATAGTGAGGAAAATTGGTAAACGTCCCATTTCAATGAATATCTGACTCGAACTAAGACTGATATGTTCTTATAAAATCATTGTAAGAGGGCTTATGATGAGTGAGGTGTTTGGTAAGCATTAGTCTGTACAACCTAGGGATAGAACAGTTCGTAGTAACAAAATAGTAAAATGCAAAATTGAGAGGTTAATCTTTTGACCATAATTGGCATACTACGATTTCTTGTCTATAGTCCCTGATAACTGACCGAGATAGACCTTAAGGTCCTTTACGCACCAACGAAATAAATATAGCGACATTTTAAAGACTATTCAGACCACATAAGACGAATTATCCTTCCACGCGCGACAAATTCAGTGAGTGTATATAAATTATACGTAATTTAATCTAATAAATCAGAACTCAACATATCCAGCTGGGAACGCTATAACTAATTGCAGGATTATGATTACTCAGCCTGTTGAACGCGACGTTTGAGGCATTTGCATAATTTTGCAAAACTCAAATACTCTGTTTAAATTTCAAAATATGTTTCGTAACGTATTTACTGGTGGTAGGACCTCTTGTGAGTCCACGCGGGTGGGCACCACCACCTTGCCTATTTCTGCCGCGAAGTAGTAATGCGTTTCGGTTTGAAGGGTGGGGGAGCCGTTGTAACTATACTGAGATCTTAGAACTTATATCTCAAGGTGGGTGGCGCATTTATGTTGTAGATGTCTATAGGCTCCAGTAACCACTTAACACCAGGTGGGCTGTGAGCTCGTCCACCCATCTAAGCAATAAAAAAACCTGTTCTTACTAAACGATTTTTGACAATGACATTAAACAGTCTAAGATTAGCAGATTAGAAATTCGCGGAGAAATGACAATAACGCAATAATGTCCATCGATTGATTTCATCCGCTCCGTGGAAGATCTTTCTTTTGTCTATTACTGCTATTACGATACCACTAAATCTTTAATTTCATCTCTATGCTTCTGGTCACCAAATACCACCAGGTGAGACAAGCCTATTTAAGAGAGCTAAAAAAGTTTTATTTCAGAAACTGATTAAGAAATTTATATCTATTTCTACTATGACCAGGGTAACTGAAAGCAATTGATAATTCTAATGTGTGTTTATCAGACGTGAATTACATAATGTAATTGTATACCATCAAGTTTAGCGATGGTGCGTTGTGGCAAAAAAGCAAGAGGTTTTATAGACATTTTTATGTTTTGACGGCGGTTGCAACGCGGGGAATACCAGCATTCTCCTGCCCTTTTCCCAGTCACCTGTGGTCGGCGCAACATGTTTTCTCCTTCCATCATCCTCTATCATATACCATTTCTTCGCTTACTCCCTTCTTATACATATCGTCTTTCACGCAATCCATCCGTTTCTTCTTGGGTCTACCTCTTCCTCTATATCCTTCCACATTCATAGTTAACACATTCTTACCAATCTCATTTTCATTTCGTCTCATCACATGTCCATACCACCCCAAACGCGCACTTCTCAGCTTCTCTGTCACAGGTGCCACTTTCAGACTTCCTCTAACATATTCATTTCGTATTCTATCCATTCTCGTTACTCCGCACATCCATCGCAATATTCGCATCTCTGCTGCATGCAAACGCGGGGAATACCGCCAGCAATTAATTCCGTCTCAAGATCTAGATAATAGTTTTTCTCGTTAAATGTTGCAAATTTTCTGAACATAAATACAACAAACATAAACTGTATCCTGTGTAGAATGAGATAAAATTGGGTTTGCCACAGTATTTTGAGGAAATGCAGGAATTTTTATAGGCCTGTTTGACGTTGTAACGTATCTACACAGTATCTAATCTGCTAAATAAAAACATGTAAGCTGCTCAGCTGATTAGTAATTCAAATTTACGTCAACTTACATGTCATTGGTTTCACAGGTACCAAGAGTTACAGACCTGAAAAGAAACAGTCATGTCTTTTTAAAATGAAGTATTTTTTTTACAAAAAATAAACAACACGAACATAAAAAGGAGATATAGCATAATTCGTTTATAGATAGGTATTTGTACATTGAGAAGGTTTGACGAAAATTAGCTTTATCAAAATCATAGTACGTATTACTTACCATTGAGAATTGAACCTTATTTTATGATGGCGTTTGTGAACTTCAATAGTCACTTAAAACCAGCTCATCCAGCATAATGAAATATTTATAGTATTTATAAATTATCTATTGGTGATAAAACCTCCTATAGACGCAGTCCACTGAGTTTTTCACCGAATCTTTTCAGTGGCCCGCGATTCCGATCCGGTGGTAGATTCTGCGACAATTTTTAATTAAAAAAAAAACTTTATTGGTACCCAAGGAAAATTATGTTTTCAAAGCGTTTAAAATGCGTAATTTTAATTTGTAGGCTTCAAAAATATCTTCAAGGTTTCTTGGCGTTTCTACTGTAAGTGATTTACTTACTTAAGCCGGTAATAAAGATTGACTATAAATAGCTGCATAAAAGCATTACGCTCGTTCGACTATAGGCTTATTTTGACGAATAAAATTATGCGTTCGTGAAACTGTGTGGTGGCAGTGCGGGCGTAATTTTACGAGCTTGTAGGAATACTGATTTTGGGCTGCATTTATGATTAAACCATGATATTATTACAGGAACAGGAAAATATTCTTTCTAGCCTTTGGACGACCTAAATGAGAGACTAGCTTTTGCCCGCGACTCCGTTCGCGTGGAATAGTTACTTTGGCATAACGCTAAATTTTACCCTCCACTTCATTTACGTAGAAAGTGAAAATATTTTGAAACATTCTTTATTGGTGGCTCCTCCACTTGTCTCGGTCTCATGATGTTATATAGCCTATAGCCTTCCTCAATAAATGGGCTATCTAACACTGAAATAACTTTTCAAATCGGACCAGTAGTTCCTGAGATTGGCATGTTCAAACAAACAAACTTTTTAGCTTTATAATATTAGTATAGATGCTCACTTTGAGTGATGATGAAGTTGAAACTTTGATTCCTTTAGAATAAAGGTTCTTATAATTTCACAAAACGACCTCTAGTATATAAGTGGGAAGATCGGTACTTTTTGGTTAATTCACACTGGTACACTAATTTTATTTTAAAATAAGAAAATATAAATAACAGTCATCAAATTGACATAACGACGTTACGAAAAGAATTTTTTGAAAAAATAAAAGGTGTTGTTGTTTAATTACATAATATCCCCTAGATTTCGCCATACCATCCCACATATCATAATTTTTTGGAGTTACATTTTATTGTACGATATTCTTTTTATTAGGGAAGTCCTTTGGCAGCCTTATTATACCATTATCACATCATATAGGGTCCAAGCTCAATTACCGTCTACGCATTAAAAAAATACAAATACACCAGAAATTTCCTTAGGGCGAGCTGCGCTGTCTGTTCACCGCGGTAACCTTCTTACCTCACCCGGGTTCTGATCTCGGGGGGATCCAAAGCTTGGGCGAGAGTTTAGAGGAGTCGTTTAGTGGGTAGGGCCCTTAATCCCATCCTTGAGCCCGCGGTTCGCTCTTGCGAACCAGTTCCACATACCCCGCGCGCCCCGTAGACGCGGGGACCTCGTAGGAGGTTCGGCCCCCGGTCCGGAAAAAAGAAAGAAAAATGCGTTAGAATTTGATATTGGCGTGTTTCTTCTATGAATAATCGCTAACATTGACGGCGCGTACTAATGGCTATCGTCCGTCCCATCGGTTCGTGTTTATGAATACAAATGAAGCCGGCAATTTAGGGTTGGCTAGGCGCGTATTGCAGCATGAGGGTACATTATGGGTACCATTTTTTACACGCGAAATCTTGGAATTATTTTAGTCTGACCCTCTTTTTGAGCATATGACGGAACGGTGTCAAGGAGAATTAGTGCCAAACGAAATGACTCGTTTGGATTTCGATTTCCTGATTTACAATGGTCTTCCAATTTTGCTTCCATTGAACTCTATATATCAAGGTGAAATAAACACACATTTATATATAGATACATATTCCGAAGAACAACTTCTGAACC